CTGAGCATGCGTGCTTTTTATTTTAGTCCGTGAGTAGAATCCTGCTAAATGATTATTCCCTCTTTATCTAGGCATATTTCAAACTTAGATTAAAAGCATAAAATATTTAACATCAAAGCACAATGCATTCGTTTTTTCGAATGTGTTTTTCTTTCCAAATTTGCTGCCTGAAGTGCTTTTTTGTTAAATATTTAGATCGCACATAAAACTTTTAATGTTGTTTTTAAATGATTTTTATTTTTTAACCTTTTTAAGATCAAGATATCAAGCAGACATATATGACTGTCATGGATGCATTCTGTTCCCATGTTGGTAGTCAAAGTGTTAAGCGAAAACATCTGGAGCGTAACAGAATTGTTCTTTATTAAATTTATACGAAACAATGACTGTGTGATCTAAAATCGATCACAGTTCACGAACGCAAGACATCCATCGAAGTCTTAGGAACCTCGTGTTTTTATTGGGTTCGTATAGTCCACCCCTCATAAACTTCGGTTGTATGCTTTCAAATATGATAGCGTCTTTTAATGTATTGTATTTCTGAAAACAACTGTCTAATGCAATTGAAAGTTTGATTATTAAAATGTATACCAACACCCCCATGAGTTTCTTGTTGTCATTAATATATAGTTCTATATATCAGGTTACTCGTATGTTTTATAAAGACTTGTCTACATCCAAATGTATGACATTTCCAAATCATTAAAATAATGATTGCTATGGAACATGTTTATCCATTTCACAGCACAATATTTTTACATAATTAACACGTTAAAATTTGACTAATCAAAGCAAAACTGAGATCTTCTACTCTGTATATATAGAAACGCAGATCTAAATCTGTAAACTACAGTAATGGTGTTTGTAGATGCTTCTCCTTCAGCTTTTCGCCACTCTTTTTGACACATTGCTTATTGTATCACAAATTTTGACTCATAAGGCGAAAGAATTATTCATATTCTTCTGCTGTCCAAAGTTTGCATTCTTTATGTCCATTAATAATGTAGTTTTAAAGAACTGCACACTACATTTATTGAATCTCCTAAGGCGTCCACTCTAAGTTAGCGTGTCCTATGTAGAGCCAATTTCATGATCCTTTGGGAATCTTACAAACAGCTGTTTTCTAAACTTTTGTTTGTATCACAATTTCACTCTGACTGTGGCTAGAATGACAACACTACGCGCTTTGTTGAATCATATATTGTAGGTTTTGGCGCCAAATCTAAAATTCTGTACATGTGGAGGTAAACTGGTACAGGTGAAAAAAAAAAGGGTTAGTTTTACTTTTTTGTTCGCTCATATAATATCAAATTAACATGTAAATAAAACCAAATAAAATATTTGAGCTACTGATTAACTTGTACGCAAGGTTTTCCAACTACAAAGAGTAAAGATTTAGTTTAAAATGAAATATAAATGTGGTATCTAGCTTTTACTTATCTGTGTATGTACGTATGTATGTATGTGGTATTTTTCCTGTGATAGCCCAACGATTTTAACCTACATATATATTAAGTAGTATGCTCTGAAAACGAAAGCAGAGTATCTAATAAAACTAACTGAATAAATAACATATAAAAGCATATTTCTTTTCCAGCAATGCATAATTTGTTTTTGATTGCGTAAAGAATTCCACATAAGATACATGAGTTACATTAGGCTTAAGGCACACACAAAAAAACTCAATGGTATATATATTCAGTGTATATTGTACGGAGTTGTGCGTAGCTTGCAGAAAACATGAAAAAATACATAAACAAAATCACACAAAATATTCTCCTTTATTTACATCTCTGCTAATATCACGAGATATTTTATCAAATATCATAAATGTGCAATACTTTGGATATTTAAATACTATATATACATTTTTGAATTTACGTTTGCAGAAACATGAAAACTTTAATCACTCTGTAGTATATATATATGCTTATTTGTATAGCTGTCTCTTTAAATAGATTTTCAAAAAGAAAAACATTATCTACAGTTGCAGCCCTGTGGAAATCAATAGGTTAAGCATTACAATTAAATTTTATCTCAAAGATAAATAACTACAATTCTGTCAGTTATCTCAAATAATAGGATAAAGTTCGTAGGTTTCATTGCTTATATTTGTAACACAAAAATATTTACTCATTTCTAAACCATGTAACTGACTTAAATTCTACAACAATTGATTTTGGGAACACGATTTATTTCTCTTTATCTCTAACATTTCTTTCAGGTATGAGACGATGATGGCGTAAGACGTACTAAATAAAACCTTTTATCAAGATTTTATTTCTTTTTTTCCTACGTTGGAACGACCTACATAGCGGATACTGAACAGATCTGACAAAGATGAAATTAAACATTTGGTTCCAACTGTCAATCGTATGTAATCGCGTCTTCTGACATGAATGGATATTTCTGTCTAAAGTTTTTCCTGCGAGCTTATCACACAACAGAAAGTTGTAAAATAGTATTATCACTCTACTCGTTCTAACACAATTCTTATAGCCTTATTCGACCAAGCAGTCAGTGCAAAATAAACTTAAAGTAGAGATTCATTAACTTTAGCTTCAAATAACCCCTTCACTGATTATTCATTATAGCTCCATATAACACTTTCCAACCCCTTCATTGTGATTCTTAAAATTCTCATGCAACCTAATATGTCGTTCACCGGGACCATAGTTCACTTAAAAATTATCATAATTCCACTTAATGAAACATTCATCATCCAGTATAACTTATCATTCCATCAATATTTTCCTTACCTTTCACAGTGTATTTTTTCCTATAATACGGTATTATTTTTATCTTTTACAGTGTATTTTTTCCTGTAATACGGTATTATTTTTATCTTTTACAGTGTATTTCTTATCCCGATCAATGCAGTTCTTGTCTTTAAAATTGTAGCTTTTTAATCATTTATGTTGTTCTTATGTTTTACACTCATGATACTCGGAACTTGTACCATAAGCTTATTCTTTTACTGCTGTACGCATGCCTCTTATAAGCTAACTTTATTTTTATTTAAACCCACTACATGCCTATTACCAGCTTGTTTCTTTAAGCAGTTATCACATCTTAAAAATATGGTGTAACTTGGACGTTTAGTCTTACTTGAAATTAATGTACACAATGATCTAGTTTTTAAAATGATAAGAGAACTCTGCCTGAATCATAACATGTATGGAAGATGAGCATAGATACACATGAATCTATCGATAAAATGTCTGAACACTCAGAATATTATAACATAACCTGAATTATAAACATTAAACTGTTGTGCTAATTATAATATTAAACTTATTGCTGTGTAAGTTACGATTGCTTATAAAACTGACCCGCAATTGCGCTATACATTTATGAGTGATTAATTAAATTTAAATAAGATCTTAAGTTGTCGTTTTTTTCTCTTTCCCCCACAGTGGCACAGCGGTATGTCTGCGGATTTATACCGCTAGAAACCGGGTTTTGATACCTGTTGTAGGCAGAGCACAGATAGCCCTTTGTGTAGCTTCGTGCTAACTACAAAACAACAACAATAACTTTTCCCTTTATATTTCGTGATTTCTACTAAAGAGGCAAACCGAAGAGATATTTAAATAGGTACTCTGATCTACTGATTCATTTTTTTCAGATACTTTTTTCATGTTGTTCGTCGTGAACGTTTACATCAGAAGTAGTTTATCGATAATAAAATACAATGATAATTTTATCTATCGCCAGTATCAACATCGTAAATCAAATATATTTTTATAATATGTTTTGTAATTTTGTAGTGAAACCTCTAGAAGACCTTAAGATCAAAACATTCTCAGTTTCGCTTAGACGAGACACCAATCAGATGAAGTCAATAAACAAACTACTACAACACAACGTAAAAGGACCCTGAAGTTTTAGATTATTCGCTCCCCCCCCAAAAAAAAGACACTTATATGTGTTTACGTAATTGGAAAACCAATTGAACAAAATATTTTAACTGGTAAAACAATGGTGAACAATCCTACAAGCACAAGAAACGAAGGGTATTTTAATTGTTTTGTGTGTGTGTGTGTGTGTTTTTGTTTTGTTTTTTGCATATGCAAAAGCTCTTACAATAGTCTTGGAGACATACAGGTATTTATAATCATATTAGAACACAGTCCATAATACATATGTATTGAGACGAACGTGCGCTGCCGCCGTAAACAATACAGCTTATATTAATTCAATTCATAAAGTTACATAATCTGGAATACTGACTTGTGTGTTAATCCAGGTTACTACGTTGTAGAAGAAAGACAAACAAATAGAATGCTGAGTCAGCAAGTTGCTACTGTTTCAAAAGATCGTTAAGCATACTTCTGATTACATTACCGTGAAGAAGTGAAATAAAGAACACGTATTTAACAGATCTTCCGGAGTTAATTCTAATGCATTGTTAATTTAGTACAGCCATTAACTAGCTGTTCATATGATGTTGTTGTTTTTTTAAAGATAGTGACAGTATGATAAGGAAAGACTTGAAGATCAGCGAGTCAACCACTTGCAGCATTGTTATCAGTATGCATGAATAGCGGTTCTTTTTATGTCCACTTCATTTGCAATGATGGAAACCGAAAATCCTATAGATTACAGACTATCTGTTATCAGAACACGTCACAACGCGCTCAGTTTTAATTTTAATGTTTATTTTTCCTTAATCCATAAAATATAAGTACAAGAGGTTATATTGCTAGAAGAACCTAAATGCTAATTTACGTGAAATATTTACATCAACTGGAAGTTATCTTGACCATTCAGTAACACGAAACATTTTTGAAACTACATTAGGGATTATAACTTACACAAATACAACAACGTCTGTGTTAAACTTCATTGAAGTATGATTACTAAAGAGGAAGCCATTGACAAAGACTTTGCATTTAATGCCTTTGTTTCACGAAAATATTTCAACTAATTAGATCAATTACAGCCTGTTAGAAAAGGCTCTCTTTTCTTTGATACATAGATCTTTTAAACGTACTTACCTTCACAGCAGAAGTTTCAGTTGTCACTTATAAATTGGTCCATAATTCGGTGCACGGTTCTCCTTAAAAATAACAGGTTACATATCGTAAAAAATAGATTCCTTAATTACCATAAAAATCTCTATCGTTTGTACTGCATTGTGTCTAAGATAACATAGTGTATATTTACTGTTATACAATGCGCAAATGCAGGAGAGCAATATTTACAGATTTTTTAAAGGAATTGTTCTTTATTTTCAAATGTCCAAAGTTACAGCCCAGGTTAATTAATTAATTATGTTTTTAGAAATAGACCGTGTAACAGAAGTAGGTTCTCATAAAATCGCTAAATTTAAGTGGATAAGCAACATATTCAAGTCACTTTTTTTGCCAACTTTTGTCCCTTATTTTACACTCAACGGTTTTAGAAGTATCTCGAGTTCATCATGTGAATCCTACTGCAAAGACTAAATAACAAGCTGATGAAAAATACAAATTAGTTGTTATATTAGTAAGCGTAATTTTAATTACATGGATTGGATCAGTATCAGGTAGACGAGTCAGAAATTCTAGAGTAAAAACATATGTTAAGGCTTCTCACATTATTAAAAATCCACACGTTGCTTCAGTCATTTATGCATCCAGGATTCTATAAATTCTTATGGAAAACTCTTAATATTAAAGATACTAAGAGCAAGTTGCGTGTTGTTAATTTTTGTGTTTATAATCACTGATATGGCTGCCATTTCTAAATGGTGGTATAAACATTTGCAGTGACCTTTGATGGCCAGCAACATCTTTTTGTGGAGATATGATTTTACCACCGCGGGTATCAAAACCCGATATGTAGCGTTATAAGCCCAGTGATTTACTGCTGAGCCACCAGGGCTTAACGTGAACGAATGGAATACAGAGAGAGAGAAAAATCTGAACGTAGAAATTATCCTCCCGTGCTGCCATACATTTCACTTCAAAAATTAACTCCCCGATGGCTTAGAAGTCAGTAGAGTTATAACAATAAACTACTAATCGGGTTTCGATACCCGCGATGACTAAAGGATAGATAGCTCTTTGCGTAGGGTTGTGCTTAACAAAAAACAATAACTTTAAAAATGTGTCTAATTAAAATTGTCCTCATTGCGACATCGTTTTAGATTTCCCCTTTTGAAAATTCTATCGCCAAGACTGGGTATTTGCAATTCTAGGACTACAACGCTGTTTATAACCAACAATAAAATTATGAAAATGCATTTCAATTTGCCTTTCGTAGATCGTGATAGCAACTAAAATATCTTTACAACGCTTCTTCGACACGTTGTTCAAGTGCAAATCAAATGCAGTTTTGTTTTGCTGCTCTTCAATTATCAACCGCTAATGCATATCGTCATAAATTCTTGTTTTACGTATTTTATGGTTCAAGAAACTCGAAGTTACAGCAATCTAGCAAGCTAAACACTGAGTAAAGGCATCAATATAATCAATGTGATATATTGATCCACTCAAGTACTTCAAGGTGACTGATTCTACACTATGAGACTCCCAGTGGAACAGCGGTACGTCTTACAATGCTAGAAACCGGGTTTCGATACCCGTGGTGGTTAGAGCACAGATAGCCTATTGTGTAGCTTTGTGCTTAACATCAAACACATCTAAACTATGAAGCACAAGCTATTTCTGTTTTTCTTAATACTTTAAATATATTAGTAGTATTATTACGTTAAAGCACACCCTATAAACGTTCACAGACACTTACTTCTCCTAAAATGTTGTCAATTAAACGAATAAGTTTACATTTAGTAAAATGATTAGAGTGTCATTCTTTTATTTATTATTAATTTTTTTATTAGAAAACATGATCTAGATGAATTACAAATGTTTTTAGCTTGTACTCCAGAGATCAGTTGTAGGTTTATGGACTAAAATCCGGTGTTCAATTCCTCACGATGAAAAGAGCTCAAGTAACCTATTGTGTAGCTTCACGCTAAAAAATAACAACAACGACGTTTCAAATACAGTTTATCGAAACATTTAAACTTGTTAATTCACTTTATATTGTGTTAGCTCGCGCTGCTAGAGGATATAAACGTCTTAATTAATTGCTAATCAATAAATTAATTTGAAAATTATGAAAGAGATATAAGGATTTATAATGCTAAAAATCAGGTTTTGATACCCGCAGTAGGTAGAGCAATAGGTTCATTGTGTACTTTTGTGCTTAAAAAAATAAACAGACCTTATGTAAAATGCTTACAGTTTCAATAAGCATTTTAAAAAATAAATCTCATATTTAAAATAGTGTATTTTATAAACTTCAGAGTAACGTTTCTGCATGAAAATTTTGTCCTACCTAATTATCTAAATTCAACTGAAACTGCATATTTAGCATTTTTTACTTGTATTTTAAATAGCACTGGTGTAAAAAATCATTTATATATATATATGTTAATAGGTGCATGTATTTGTTAAAACATATATTAATATAACCCAAAGAAAAAAAAATACAAATTTCCTACAAAGACGCTATAACAACATGTGTCATTTTAAGACAAACACTTGGCAGGAGTGGAGAAGAGTTTTATATACGTATCTTTATTATAGCGCACAATTCGCCATCATGCAGGGTTGTAACAAGTATTATTACACTACTATAGAACAACACATACATAAGTTTCTTCCAGTTACGATGTAACTATTCATGACTCTGACGTCCAAGCTATCTCGTATGCTGTAAATCGATAAAAAAAAAAAGGCAATAGTGGTCATTCGCCAAAATATTCCATTTGGAAGACCAAAGATGCATAAGTTTATTTCGGTGGCTTTATTTCGTCACTCGAAAAATACTATACTTCAGACAAATTCAAATATTTCTTTTTTTCCAGTTACTTCATAAAATATGACAGTTTTAAAAAGTAGTTGGTTATCATAATATTTTGTTTTCTTTCGTAATCGTTTTTTCCTGAATATATTTTTCAAATTCACGACAGAGAAATTAAATAGAATTTGATAGTTATCTTAGCTATTAGACTAAACAACCCCTTCAAGATACCTTCTTTTTATGTATTAGTTGCCTTAACTTATCTTTGTATATTCATTGAATTAATTTTCATATTAGAATTCTGTTACCAGGTGTACCTTTCAAACGATTTATTTTCATCATTAAAATTTTACCCCATTATATATAGTTTATGATACAGAGGGGGATAGCTATGCTTTGTACAGTTGGTGAACGAATAATAATTATACAGCAGTGAAAAATAGTTCGTGCAATTATAGGCGTGGAATATGGGATTCCAACAATTAGAATAACACTAGCATAAATAAACTAAAGTTTTTATTCACGTAATTCTGCATTTTTTTTTGGTATTTATTTCTTATGTTAAAAAATATACATTTATTATGAAAAGAAGTCACCAGTCTCAAATCTTGCAATTAGAGGAATAAAACATAATACGTTATTGCCTCCTAAACACTTGCCATTTTTCAGTTTCAATTCAATGAAAAAATTCGAAAAACAGGGCACTGGATTTTCAAATCAGATACAGGTTCGTTTGTTTGTTTCAGACTATTCGCTACACGAAAGACTACCTGCGCTTAGTCGTCCTTAATTTTGAAATAGGAGACTAAATGGAAGGCAGCCAGTCAACAGCACCCACCGCTAACTGTTGGGCGCACCCACAAACCAAAATACGAAGCAATGAGCCGCGATTCATAAACCCTCAGATTCACAATCCGAACACGCTAACCACGAGGCTACGATCGACCCAACAGATAAGGGAACTCTTTAATTATTTCATTGTTTGTACAACAGTTTTGCTCAAACTAGTCAAATACATCAAAAACTTTCAGACAAATAATAAAAATATGACAATTACGGAATTATAACTATCTAAGGTATCGCTTGAATTCATATTTGGTGAATATAATATCTCCCTTTTCAGTGTGATGTTCTAACTTCTAGGAATCCTTCTAAGACGTGCAGTGCTGGAAAAATGTTAAGTAAGATAACAGCTTTGAAGCGACTTTAAGTCCTATATCGTTAAGATGTAAGGTTTTTAGCTCATAACCATACCATAAGCAGCAGTGTGGCATAGATTTCAGGTTCTAACCCACACTCCTTTTAAAACATTGATTTTTCGAAAGTGCTTTCACTTTCTTTTTTGAAAAAAGATCCACTAGATAAAAAAGTAGACTCTTATCACTCCCGTTCTGTAAGAGCGCTTTAAATCTATTTAAATAAATAATCCACTTTATGGTAAATAAAATTTTCAATGCAGTTTTGATAAACCACCTTGTTCGGCTCTTTCCATTCTAACTGAAACTGTTTAAAGTGTATTTATCATCGCTTTAATTTCCTTATTGTTCTTTTCATGAATTATACGGAAACAGATCTGCGTTAGGGTGTTTCTCAGAACGGCTTTGAAAAATGGTATAATGCTCAATTGAATAAAACATTACATATTATACTAAACACTCTTCTTAATGAGCATCTTTTTTCTAAACTCTCCTTTAGTGGATGCTACAGATCATCTGGTTCTTATATATCATAGACGTTAAGTGATATGATACGAGTGTCAGATATCGTAGATTCACGAATGGAACACTAGTTTATTTTCCTTTCACATTTGCAAAATTACAGAAACAGATAACGCTTAAACAAATCCAGATTTTACAAGTTACGATTGGATCGCCAAAAGCTGTCGAACCTTTATACTATTTTTTTATTTATAGCTACACAATGGGCTATCTGTGATGTGCCCACCACGGACTAGCGAAGCACTAGGATATAATATGGCTAATATATGTGATAAAAATTACTTAAGACTGCTTATGTCTCTTTTTTTTCCCAAAAAAGAAATCTTCTTATTTTTTTCCATTATGAAAAGTGGAAAAACACATCTACAGTCCAAGTAATATCCATGTTTCCGCATATTGTAAGTATGTCTGGTTTGTTTAATAGCAACACAAACCACAATGGTGCTTCGTCATCAGCTTTACATACACAATCCCTCAGATATCATTTTCCTGTTTGCTTTAGAACAAAGTCACATTGCGCTATCTGTTGTGTACACTCTGGGGAATCGAA